TTGGGTATAAAGTGTTATGATTGTATCGATGTGCAAGTTTCAAGCTGCAAAAAAGCGCCCTTCTTTTTAATATTTTTTTTTTGGTGTTTGCTTTTGCCGTGGTCACTTGTTTGCATAACTGTATAAGGTTTGTCCGATACAAAGCAAAACTTTTATAAAAAAATAAAGGATATTGCATGGTTTTCCCATTAAATAATTTTTTAACAATTTGGGTAGGTACTACCAAAATCAACCGTGGTGTGTATGTACTATATATACATATGTATATGCATTTATTAATATTAAGAGTTTCGGTACTCACCATGACTCACCACCTTGACGGCATTGGCAATATCTGCTGCTGCGGCTGCGGCATTTGCCACATCTGCCGCAGCGGCGGCAGCAGCTGCAGTACATTGCTGCAAAGTGCTGAACGCTGCGCTTCCCGATGCTGTTTTGAAATTTGCAATAGGCGGAAAAACATGCACCAAATCGGTTGGGAAGTCTTGGCGGAAATCACATAAAGCCTGCGACAATTCATCAGTTTTGTAGGCGACATTCGATAGTATCAAATTCTCAAGAGCCTGTGGTTGACGATGTGCGCTCTTTGCGCGTTTCGCATTGCTCAATGCCATGTCATCGTCGTCCTCGTCCTCTTCATCATCTTCGTCATCGTCTTCGTCATCTTCTGCACAGCCAATTATATGCTGTCTCATTGCGATGGCCTCATCATCCTGTACCATGGCGCTCACATCGATATCATCTTCACAATTTCCCTCCACATCACCGTCTAATTCTTCGTCTTCGCCATCTTCTTCATCATCATCCTCGAGCACCTCTTCAATGTCATCACCCTCACCATCGCCCTCGCCATCTCGTTCACCTTCACACTCGCCATCGGCTTCTCCTTCTTCATAACCGTGACCCTCCAGCATATCAAGCGTCACAGCGGACTGATCAGCCTCAATGTTTGCATCATCATCTTCCTCCACTTCGCCATATTCATCGAGTTGCAATGCATTTTCGTCGCCATTAGGCGCCTCAATACTCATCGAAACATGTTCGAGTAACATGTTGGGTGCGGCAGCTGCTGCAGCAGTGACCAACGTAGCTAGATTCTTCATTTCTGTAACTCCTTCGGCGTCTGGTTCGCCATCCAATTCCACTTCCTCGTCCAGCACTGCGATGCCATCTTCACTGTAGATTTCTTGCTGCTGTTGTTTGTCTGGCAATGGTGGTGGCGGAGTTTCCGTTGGTGACTTGGGTTGATCGTCGAAGAAGCGCGGCATATCGTACAACTGGTAGCGCTCCTTCAAATACTCTTGCTGCTCGGCGGCACTCATTCCACATACGGTTGCTAGCGCCGCTGCTGCTGCTTCGTCACCGACATTACGGGATTGCATTGCTTGAAAAGCCTGCAAAATGGTGGAAGTTACCTCTTGCTGCTGCTGTTGTTGTTGGTGGTGATTATCGTCGCCTATTGATGGTATGTGTTGTTGCAAAAACGTTCCAGCTGCATTAGAAGGTGATGCCAAAGGCGATGCCGGAGAGTTGTTAAGTGCAATCGAGGTGTCTCCGCTGCCACTCATATCTAAGCTGCTTGAGAGTTGTTGCTGCTGTTGTTGCGCAGCAAACGCCATTTGCGTCATGATAACCTGCTTCGTCTGCAGGCTCGGCTTGATTTCGTTAGTGAGCAATAATGGCTGTAAATTAAATGAAACAGAAAATATTTTTAATACGCAAACAATAAAAATATTGTCAGCTTTAATTCAGCATCCTTACCAATTTATTGTAAATGGATACCATTTGATTTTGTTGCAGTACAGGCGATTGTGGAAAAACTGTTTTACGGAAGTTTTTGTTGTCCTTCTTCGATACCGGTTTGGCTTTTGGTCGATCGCTAATGGCTGTGCTCTGCGACACTTCTGATGGTGTTGTAATTTGAGTACTCTTTTGGTTCAAATTATTGTTATTGCCTTTATTGTTGAAGTTACGATTGTTTTGTAGATTATTTACTGCAGACATTGCCTCCAAAGCGGCCGCTGCTACACCACTATTACTGTATTGCTGTGTGTTTAACATAGATTTAGTTTGATCCTGCTGCTGTTGACGCAACTCCGCAGCTGCATCGGCGACAGCACTCGCATCTAATAACTCAATCATCATATTATCCGATGGCATGTTTAGCATTTGTTGGGATTGGCCACCGCTGGCTGTGTTGCCGGTAAGGAAAATCGAAGTCATCTCATTATCGCCCAAAGTAGTGACACCTGAGCAATTACCATGGGAATATCTCTTTAAATGTGTGCTAAAACTTTCATCTACGTGAACTTACCTGAAACAGCATTGGCAGCCATTGTTTCAACGCCCTCGACTCCACTCAAATCCATATAGCTAACTGGTGATAAATCGCTCACTACACCGCCCGACTTATTTTCATTGCCAATCTTTAAATATAAAACGATATTGAATGATTAAAAAAAAGATTCCCTTGGAAAAAATGTGCAATTATATAACTTTGCAGGACTTGATACTCACCTTTTGGAATTCGGGCTTGAAAAAACAACGACGCATGAAACAACGATTTTGTTGTTGTACGTCTGCTTCTCCTGCATTTGCTACAAGTGAGCCACTACCGTCGTCACCCAGCGGTTGGGAGCGTACCTCGTCTGGTTGTTGCTGCTGTTCTTGTTGTTGCATTTGCTCAAACTGCTGTTGTTGTTCAATTGTTAAATTTCCCAAATTGGTTGTCGCTAAGTTGAGCTCGAAAGGCGCTGGTGGCTGTCGGTTCTTTCGCGATGCATTGCCGCTCTTCGTCTTCATGGGGGGCTGTACGGAGTTCTGCTGCAGCTGTGGCTGTAACTGAAATTGCTGCTGTTGATGGGTTTGTGCTGCACCAGCACCACCCACAGGTGGAGCAGGTGGCGCTTTCTGGGGTGGTGTTAATGCGTTTATGTGCGTCATATCCAATTCGAAATGCTTGCGTTGAGCATTATTATTGTTGTTGTGTGCAGGCAAAGGAGGTTGCTGCTGTTGCTGTTGTTGTGTCTGTGTAATTGATTGCTGTTCGCGGCCCAATGTAAGACCCTGCTCGAAACCAGTTTGCAAGTGGAAAAGGCGCGATTTTGCAATTAATGCTTCCTGTTGTTGTGCGCTAAGCGAATTGATGTCGATGGCAGCAAACTCCTCGCCATTCGCATCCGTAGTCGAAGTCAATGGCAAATGTTCTTCGGTATATGCGGCAGCTGTCGTGTTCAATACAATATTGTTGGCGGTCGTACCGTTGGTGTTCGGCAAGGTATTTGCGCTGAATTGTTGCTGATGGAATTGCTGCTGCTGGTTGGAGACCCGCATTGCTTCAGATACCTGCAAACCGGGCGGGGCACTTAGCTGTTGCAACTGTTGCTGGAATTGTTTCTGTTGTTGCGGATTTATGAACCGCAGTTGACCAGTGGTTGCAGTGTTATTGATTACCGCAGACCCCGCTGCAGTTGCAGCATTAGCAGCAGCAGCTGCTGCGGCCGCAGCCGACTGTAGTTCGTTCTGATGATTTTGTACGAATAGCGGATATTTGAAAAGTAGTTCGACAACGCGCGTATGACCGCCTTTGGCCGCCTCAATCAGCATAGTGCTATTGTCCTTCAACTTGTGGAAAGGATCTGCGCCACTCTTAAGCAATAGCTCGACCACTGCCTGATGTCCGCCTGCACAGGCTAAAGAAAGCGGTGTATGATCGTTGCTGCTGCTCGGCTTATTCACATCGGCGCCTTTTTGTATGAGGAATTTAACAGTACATAAATGACCGGCGCGGCAAGCCTTCATGAGTGGTGTCCGCCCGCCTTCGGATTCATGTTCTAATTCTGCCCCATAGCTGAGCAGCACTTCGGCCGCGTCTGTGTGACCGTTTTCGCAAGCATGTGTTAGAGCCGTGTCACCAGTTTGCGTCACCGCGTGAACATTAGCCTTATTCTGCAGCAGGAAGCGCACCAAGTCCGTATGGCCTTCTTGGGCTGCTTCCATAAGCGGCGTGGACGCGCCAAGCTCTAAATTGGCTCCCTCCTTTATAAGGAACTCCGCAACTTCACTAAAACCACCACAACAAGCTAGGGTAAGCGCGGTTTCCTGAGTCTCCTCAGTAGTCGCATTAATATCTGCACCCTTACTTAACAGGAGTGCAACCATTTCCTCGTGACCTTCACGTGCAGCCTCCATAAGTGGCGTATAGCCCTCGTCATTCACTTCCTCGATGTTAGCGCCCCGTTCAATCAAGAGAGTGGCCAATTCTACGTGCCCCCCACATGCTGCTAAAGTAAGTGGCGACTCAAATGAATCGGTTGGCATATTCACTTGGGCACCTGAGTCTAACAACAAGCGCGCGACTTCAACATGACCGTCCATGGATGCCTCCATTAAAGCGGTGTGCATTTCGTCGGTCTTGTGCTCTTGGTCGGCGCCGGCTTGTAATAGGAAACGAACCATACTGAGGTGACCTTTGTAACAGGCCAACGTTAAGGCGCT